GTTTTTTAAAAATACCTGTAGATCACGTTTCTTGACTACCAATTTAAATTTAATCTCAAACAAATACAAGGATAAGAATTAAAATAAATTATATTTTTTTTACGAGAGGAGAGCATAATAGAAAGTCATTCCTCTCTTCAATGAGGAAAACGCTCATGTAAATACGATAGCAAATGATAGTATACGGTCGTTTACGTTGATCGTATACAGTGGAAACATAGTATATATACTGCGACCATACGGCTATATGGAATCATTTGATCTTGACTATAAGCACATCGTATATGACATGACGTAATTACGGTCTTAAATAATGAATCAGGTTTATGACGAAATGCGGCATGTAGACGGCTCTTATTTGATCGTTTACGACTGTAAAGGCACTGTAACAAAGCACCAGTGAGACGACTACAATTTTAGTTTAAATCTATTTCGATGGACAATAGTCATTGATGATTCACTTTCACTAATTCAACTTGCATCCAATCTGCCTATAATAAATCTACGCCTCATTACTTGTAATCATATGACATCATCACTATGATCCATTACGAAAATCTCGCCAAATTTTCATGACAAACTCTAACTGATTCTTGTTTTTGTTCATGGTTGAGCTAATGGAGGCATCCATCATGATGCAACTTTTCTCATCTTTAGACAATTGTGCATAATTCGTTCTATTGTACCCATGATAGAGAGTAGTTTCAGCTATAATATCATCATAAATTGAATGTGGATCACTGTTGGCAACCTTTCGTACCAATTCACAATTTACATCTGTAAACTCGAAAACTAAACGACCAGATTGAAGATCATTATTGACATCTTCGCCTTTTTCATGAAGACGTTTTTCCCATCTTGCAATTGTTCGATATGATGAAGCATTAAGTTCCAATGCTGTTGCAAGTTCCTTCATCTAGGCCCAAAATAGATTTATTATATATATTATAATAGACAAGACATTCTACTGTTTATTTATGCAATATTTGCTTTAATGTTAACTAGTTTATAAAATTGCTAATAACCTTATCAAAACTTTTGATCAGACTTAAGTATATTTATATCTCGAATCGTATCAATAATGATCATTAGTGCACTGAATGTTAAGTTCTAGATGCTTTTTTTTAATTGCAAATGGATCTAATAAGTAATTTCTCATTTATGCACATCTAGTTTATATTCGCTGGTTATATCCTTGGAGTTCTTATAGGGATTGACTTAGTACTTGCATAGCTATGGAGTAAATAGTCAATGTTTTAGAAAAGAACCAATTTTAGCAAAGTAAGAATTAAATAAATTGCAAAAATGGTTAATACTTATTGTATTTTTTTGCATTATCTGTACACATATCTATCATATGAATCATTGACATTTGATCGATGAGAAAGAAAATTAATGCATATTTTGCATTACTAAATATTTATCTTTTCTACAAATGTTTGATAGCCTTCGGAATGTTTTTTTCATTTATCTGCTCCATTTGGAATCAATAATCTGTCAACATTAATCATTATTATTATTATTATTACATCTCATACTTATTTGACTCTTGAGACAAAGCAAGTCTACAAAGATTTTTCACATAAACAGTTTGTCAAAAAGTGTTAAAATGTTTATCAAAATATAATATGTAAATATAAAATAAAATCAAGTATTTAACCATGTTAATTATAAGAATAAGGTAAATAATTTGCTAAAGTTTTGCAAATTATTGGACATCAACTAAATAGTTATAGAAAAATCATTACAATTTTTATTTAACTTAGAGAATTTTATTAATAGTGATATATTTCAATTAGATATTATTATTTCTATTGTGATACATATGATCAAGTAACATGAATTCATGAAAAGTTTAAATATTATAGAAAAAGTCCAAAATAAAATTAAGAATGTGTCGATTTCAAGATAATATATTTACGATACTTAAATCTTTGATTTAGATATAATTTTTAAGGAAAATTTCATCCCAACATTTAATGTCATTTTTGTACTTGATAGAATTAGGTATGGATCCAAACTTAATAATAGAATTTGAATATTTCAAATTTATTTCAATGATTATGAACTATATTAATAAATTTTCGCGTCAAAAATATAGAAGGGTATCTGTCTTTGATAATCAAATGAAAACTCTGGAGGATTTTGATTGACTCTAGCACGCTGTCTAACAATGTTGCCAAAAATTCTTTGTTTGATATTCTTTAGTATCATTTCCCTATTTCAATTTTCTATCAATGAGAAAAATATTGTGTCACGTGGTTTACTAACTAACGACATTTTTCTTCATTCAGATAAAAAATGAATCAAATGGTTTGGGTGTATGTCGACATAAAATACGATTTGCAATTAAATGAATTGATTAAATATAATGAATAGTTTGATTAAATATGACATTTTTATTTATAGTATTTTATCAAATAGAAAAATACAATAATAATGAATACGATCATCAAAACTGATTAAAGATTAAATCAAAATCTGAGTTTTTAAGGGACGCATATATTGCTATTTTCGATGCTCTTATATCATAAATATTTAAAAACAATTTACTATAAAGGTTATGTCTTTTACAATCTATTATAATCTTAGTATTGACAAAATATCTACGTACCGTCTATCTGGAAATATGATTATCGTAGCAATTTTTTCAATAATTGAAGAATAGCAAGAACTAGAGAACTGCAGTTTTCTATTTCGGACTTGATTCATTATGAATCTTTCAAAGACTCCGTAGCAATGTTTTTAAATTCCATATACACTCTTATGTACAAACTATTCAAGAGATACTTCAAAGAAGATTCTCCACAAACTGATACGAAGCTAAATTCTTTAAACTGTTACAGTTCTTGAATGACATTCATTTTCTCTGATATCAATAATAGAAATAAAATACACCGCAAAATGCATAATAAACAAAATTTCATAAACTAACAATCTATTATATGAAAGACACTTCTGTATTTACAACAGTAGGACAAACTGCCCTATATAAAAAAAAATATATATATATAATTTTGTGCATTGTTATTACAAAAGGTAATATATATTACAAAAAAGAGCTTACTGACCTTCATTATAAATTGCACATCTAAAATTCAAGATTCGTGTATTTTGCATGAAATTATTTTCTTTCACTTCTCTATTCATCATAATGCTTGTGTATATATGCTCTCTATATTCTAATATTCTTTATAATATTAATTTCTATGTTAACTGTAGGATTTGATTAGGACATTTTAATGTCAAATTATAATTTCATAAAAGTTAACGAATGCATCTTTTCTTTAAAAGAATTGTTCATCATTCATTCAATTGATCACTACAAGATAAAATCTTGTTTATCATGCATTTTGCGATGTATTTTATCTATTACAAATACTGGAAGAAAATGAATGCCATTGAATAGTCATTAAAAAGTAAAAAAAGAAACCAATCAGATGCTCATCACTTTATAGAAAGTCTTCTGGAGAATCTTTTGAATAGTTTACATATAAAAGTGTATGTAGAACTCTAAAAAAAACCTGCCATAAAATCTTTGAATGATTTATAATAAACAAAACCTTCAAACCACAAGGATTTGCAGCGTTTATTACTGAATTTATAGAACATTCATTTATTTACCCGATAATGAAAACTGCAGCTTTCTTATTCTGTCCGTTTATCAATTATTACAAATATGGATGCCATTATTATACTTTTTGACAGGCAATAGTTACTATTCTCAATGGTTTAATCCTAATCCAAGCCATTGTAGGGCATTGGCTTATATATTTCTTTTTTTTTCTATGTTCTAGTTATAAGTATGTATATATACCCTTGATGCCTATTTTAGAACGAAAAGAAATAACGCAGGCAAAGAACAACCCATATTAGGTCACGTTTTTCTTGCACGTTCGTTTGTCGTATTAGTTGCATGATAAACTGACGCGTAACGTCAAATATTTTATTGAGCATTGATATTTTTTGTCATTTAAGATACAGATTTTTATTCAAATGTAATTATTAATCAATCGGTTGATTCTAGATGTTACCGTAAGAATTTTATTTTTGTTTATTGAATTCGAAAAAAAAAACGTTGATCAGAGATTCAAACAATAGAGCCTTTTTTTATAGACATTTTTTTTTCTCTTGCCATTAAAAAATCGGGAGCAGTTTGAGAAGGAGCATCGAGAAGGAAAAAAAACATTTCTTCTATTCTGTTTTTTGTCAGTCACTTTCTATGTCATAGTGCAGCGTGGAGAAAGAAGGACGAAAAGGCATAGAGTACACGAGTTGGTTTTTTTCACCGTATATTCTACTTCTTCTTTTTCTATATAGACTACAACAACACGTGCACTCTTTGCTTGTTAAGCATCTACTGTAGGTATAAAATACATTGTTTGTTTCGAATAAAAAAAAACAACAACATGCAAGTAAAATTAGATGATGAAATGACAACATATGTTATACTATCATTATTTGTTTTCTTTTCTTTTTTATTTTTGGTAGCAATTATGATTCTTCTATTTATTCATACTAACCAATATCTAAGATGTAAACAAATTTTTTTATAAATAAATATCAAATATATATGATAATGCTTACGTTTTAATGATATGCTCCACTGATTAATTCAAGTTACATTTAGCTTTTTTTTCCCTTACACCATATCTCTATGTTGAGGTAATAATGCATAAAAAAATATGCATGTATTATTTTATATTCAGATATTTTCTTATCTCATGATTGTATCCTGTATGTGCATCATACAACGTGTAAATATAGAAACAATACGAAATAAAATCAACAAGTTAGATAGCATTACGGTAAAAAAAGAAAGCTTTTTTTATACATCAAAAATTAGTTATCAGAATAAATAAGATTGAGAACATATTTGTCTTTTTCTTGTTTTTTTTTTTTGTGTCTTTAAGGATAATATTAATTTCAACAATATAAAAATATATATATTTGCTTTTTGTTTTTTTAATATGATTAGATAAAATAAGTAAATAATTACCATGCTAAAAAATCAGACAAATTATACTGAAAGAGATCGTAGTTTAATAAAACATACAAAGGGACATAAAAGAAGACAAGGAAATAAACGTCATAAATTACTTTTAACTTGTGTTGTTTGTAATGGTGATGCTCATGGTAAATAAAAACAAAAAAAGTTTACTTTTTTTTTCTATAACTTAGTTGTCTTTTTTTTTTAGGTTATAATTTTGATGCAATATCATGTGAATCTTGTAAAGCTTTTTTTCGTCGAAATGCATTACGACCATCGGTAAATATTTTTCTTTTTTCGTAATAGAAAAAATTTTGTTTTTTTTTTAATTTGAAATTTTATTTTAGGGAAAATTAAAATGTTGTGGTAATGGTCAATGTAATGTATCGTTTGATCAAAAAAGACGATGTAAAAAATGTCGTCTAGATAAATGTCTTCAAACAGGTTAACTCAAATGAATTAACTTGATTTATTATATTTTTATTGTATTTAGGTATGCGTAAAGAATGGATACTTACAGAAAAAGAGTAAGTTGAATATATCTTTTTTCTAATAATAAAAATATATATAATGAAATAAAATATTATAGAAAACAAGAAAAACGATTTAAAATCGAACAAAATCGTCGTCTTAGACAAATTCATGATGATGATGATGGAGGACATTCACAAGAAATAAACAGACACGTAATTATTCAATGACTAAAAAGAAATCAACAAAAAAACAAAAAAACAAAAGAATTTTTGCTATATATTTTTAGATTAAAATTGAAAATGATTTGTCTACAGATATTCAAAATTTTTCATCATTAACTGTCTCTCAAACATCTTTGACAGAAATCGATTGGTCAAAGATTGAATTTCTTCAAAGTGCATATACTGAAGCAGTTAAATTAAATCAAACAGCTGGTATATCACAATATCCATTTGTTCAATCAATTAATTCAACACTAGAATTGTTTCGTGTACCAATGTATATATCGTCAATGCGTTTAATAACTTTTTTTAAACAAATACCAGAATTTCAACAATTAGATAAAGATGACCAAGTTTATTTTGTTAAATTAAATACATTAACTATTGCTTTTTTACATTCAATACATATATATGATGATAAAAATGAAATATATCATGAACCTGATACAAATGATCCATTATTTTTAGAAAAAGATTGGATAAATACAATTAATAAAGAATTTCATGATGAAATGAAACAAATCCAAAAGAATTTTCTTCATATAAAACAATTTGATGATAAAATAATGAAAATATTTTTTTTAATTATGCTTTTTTCTAATCATTTTACTTTTAAATATTCAACAACAAATATTAATACATTAAATATATTTAAAGCACAAAATGTTTATAATGAATTATTTTATAAATATTGTTTACATCATTATGGTTTTTATAAATCATCAATGTTATTATTACAATATACAAGTAATATAATGAAAATACAAAAATTAATAAGTGAACTTAAATTAACAGCATGTAATTATATGGATATAACACAATTAACACCAGTCATGCAAAGTCTTTTATAATTATTCATTGAATTCTATTGGCAAAACACTTAAATGAAATAGGATGAATTTTCATAGAGATAGACAATTTATTTCAATTATGTTAATAAACTTATGAACACTATTGGACGATTGATGATAGTTTGTTTCATAGAAAAACTTTAAAAACAAATCAAGTTTATTTGTCGTAAACTTTATTTCATTATATACATTTAAAATTTTATTTTTTGTCGGTGTGCTTTTTTTGTTTTAGATATTTTAAAAATAAATCTAAAGTGAAAGGCTTGTATAACATGTATTATTTCCATATAGACTTGCTTGATTAATTGTTTAACATTCAAATTTATCATATAAAGAAAAATGATTAAACAGAGAGTTTTTATGATTCTGTTTTTTTGTTTTCGTTTCTTCAGAAATAGAATCTACATCAACATCTATGACTGGAATATGAGAATGAAAAAAAAAACTTCGTCATCGCAACTCCTTTTAGACTAAAATGTGGAACTCAAATGCGTTCTTTAAGAAATTCCATTCCATCAGAAAAGCCATTTTTTCGCAAAAAATATTGAAGTTGAGTTTTTGTCATAGAAAGATGCATCGAAGCTTCCTCTTTTAGAATATATATGACTTTTTACAATATGATCAGAATTTCACAAACTTATCATTGGAAACTTTGACTTTACTGTGATGTTTTCGGAGAAAATTTCATGATTCTTTTTTTAAAGTTTTTCTGTTTTAGAAAAACTGTGTTGTCACTTGCATTAGCATTGAATAGAACATTTTTATATTAACCAGCATGACAGATCACGTTAGCTATCTTCATCTATTACATGCTTTAAAATAGTCTACTGAAATGTATTAAAAATATGCAATTGTAATATGATTTTTTTCTGGATTTGAATGAAAAAATCCATTTCCAAAACTTGTTTAGCATTTTTCTCAAAACATGATTTCCAGACAGGAAAATTTGAAATAACATTCATCCGGTTCAAGGTATAGTCAATATTTTTTAAAGGTTTCAATGCGAGTAAACTTTTGTCCGGCTAGATTTTTTTATATTAGATTCCTGGCCTGAGAAAAGTGGAATTTAGTATCGTGAGGATTACCTTTTTTTGTGCTTATTTGAACATTATGTTCTATGTGGTAAATCAATTCTGAATAGGAATCCTTAATCTTGTTAGGTTCCGTTTCCTTTTTATTTGGAAAATAAAATAATGGAAATCTAAAACTTCTTATAAGTAAATGAAAAAAAGAAAACAAAGAGTGTTGAGTGGTCAATACAAGGACCTTAAAATCAACAACCTTTTATTTCACCTTCTTTTCTATCAGTTTAACACACAACAACCGTCACAAGAGAAGAGGAAAAAAAAGAAAGTAGAGAGGAAGAAGAAAGGAGGATCGTCCATCTACATATAAAATATAGATGGCGGATTCTAACAAATCTCATTATATTAATACAAAATACGTTAAGTGAAAAATCTCTAGCGGACTATGATCGTTTTTCAAGGATAATCGATCGCCAGAAAAACCATCTCTCTTATTTATTTCAGCATTTAGAACAGGAGTTATTTTTATATCTCTCTTGTTCCTATTAACTGGTCATGTCACAAAAACCGAATCACTTTTAGCAGTAAACTGCGGTTCACCGGTCCTTTTACCAATAAACTGTAGTCTATCGGTAATTTTACAGTCAGGTTGTAGCTTATCATAAAATAGTGCGCGACTTTTTCTGACTGACTGTATAAAGATGAAGTTAGAAATTATTCCGAAATTGCAACAGTTGTATTTTTGTTACTACGGTAGAGTATCTCTTTCTATGTGATTTGAACTGAGAAAAAATCGCCGGTTGACTGTTCGGTGTACTGTACGCTAAACAGATAGTTAACCGGTGATGTTTTCATAGTCAAACGGTAGATCAGAATTCGAATCTATTCACTAGTTGCTTCGTTGTTTCTCTCTTGCTTTCGCATTGTATTTTTTGGAATTCAATGAAATAGCAAGATTTATTTCAGCAACATAAAAAAAAACCTGTAGTTCAATAACAATAATCGAAAACAACGCAGTAGAAACAAATAATAATGAATAAAAAATGTTCACTTAATGGACCTAAAAAAAAATTAATGAATCACAAGTATCAGCAAAAAAAAATTTCACTATTGTTTTTTATCTTCATGTCAAGTGTTATTTATCAGCTGCACGATTATCACGTCTATTGTTTATTTGTTTTTGCATAATGGCTTTGTGAAAGTCGAGATACTATAAAACTGCTTGAGCAGCATCGAGTTTTAATTTGGATCTTACTGCTTCTAAAAAAAAAATCATTTAATATTAAAAGGAATATGAAGTCATACTTCACATTTAACGAAAAGATATCCGTCATCACTGGTTATACTATTCGGTTACATACTTTCAAGATCTTCAGATGTGAAGACGACATTCTAGACATTGGTTGCATAACGTGTCTTCTTGGTTGAATCTGATAGGAGCAGTAAAATATTAACAGTATTTGATGTTCGAACACGCAACTCCTATAAGAATAAGATTGTGAAAATAATTCTAAATTATCATTTCGTATATAAATGAGATCACACCGTACTAAAGATTTACGAAATGAATCTGAACTACTGACATCAGTTTTATGACATCTTCATCTTATAAATCAGTTATGGTACATGAATTTAAATATGTAAAGTTTATATTGAAAAGTTGATAGCGTTAGAGTGAATTATTATCTGCAACTTAGCAAAACTTTTCTGAATGTGTTTTTGATTATCACATATGAGACGCATAATACTGCTGGCTCGGTTTTTATTCAATGACAACTTCAATCGAAATAAGTTACCGAGATATCTTCAAAATAAAATTTTTCTGTAATAATCTTAGTTCCACTGTGGTTTAAAGAAACTATTACTAGTAACTGAATACAATATATTGATTAATATATGTGCTGTTCTATTTATCGAAAAATCGCAGAGTGGCTGTAAAACGAAAAACAAGATATATATAAGGTGTTGCATCACTTATTTCTTTTGCTTGATCACTTAGAAAAACGAATCCATATAATGACGATAAGTTAATTGTTTGATGGTAACCGAACTTGTTATATAAAAATAAGTGAAGAATATCAAATAAAATCTGGAGAAGATATTTTTCTTTAAAACATCTGTCAGAATGCTAAGACCGACAGTACAGAAAAAATAGTTCTTCAGCGCAAAGACATTTAATAGTTGAAAAATTGAATGAGTATATATACACTGATTGATTCAAAAGCCTTCTTATACACAGTAATATAATCATGGTTTTTGTAAAACCGATATTGTAAGAAATAAGTTTATAATTAGGTGAGAAATAATCACAGAGTTATGGAATTGTTCTATTTCATTATGTGTTTCTCACAAGGTCGACAAAATCATTGAAGTTATGTTACTTTGTTCGAGAAGTTTGACTCTTAAATAAACTTGTACTCAAACAAAAAGCAAAATTATAAATTTCTGATATCGTGCTGGATACAACTGATATCATCGTGGAATCAAGGTTATGGAAATTGTAAGTCTAATTAATTTCCACTTATTAATGCTGAATATTTTTCTGTTTAGATAATACTCTGAACGTCACATCATGATTAGAGCAAGATTCAATATCTGAAAGTGATAATCAATCGAAACCGACACAATTGTTCAGAAAGACATTTTTTCACTTGCTTTAATAATTTTTTTGTATGCATGTTTTTTATTACATTGACTTTTATTTTTATTATTTTTTGAAATAAAACTTAAGTTATTTGAAAAATAACCGTTAAATTTAACTAGAAAATATTAGCGAAATGAGGAATCGAACAGTACCGATTGATTGCTTAGAAGCATCAGTAAACGGCAGTTTACCGTAAAAAATCTGCCGTTTGCCACAGTTCATCGGATAAAAATCAGTGATTAACCGCGGTTATGGGAGCCGGTAAAACAGCCCATTTTTCTTCAGTTTTTGTTACATGGGTGGCTGTTTTTTTTAATTGTGCATTCTATTATTCTCTCGTATTTCGGCAATTATTTGATGTATATGCGAAAAAGTTCTATTCAAATATCTTCATAGATTTTGAATGATTCTGATATATATATCAGCCGTACGAATAATAGTAGTGGAAAAAATATATTCATTTTCTCGTCTCATCTAGCACAGTTTAAACGTACTGTTTATCATCTTTCAAATCGAAAGTTTTTTTGTTTTTCGCTTGGTTTTTTTCTCTAAACGATACACAATAATGTTGCAATTTACTCATCGATATACACATGTATAAGTAAAAATCTGATTTCATGCAATCAGTATATTCAATTCAAGAATCAACAGATCGAACAGAAAATTTTCTAGTTACAGTCTGCAACTACAATGAAACGGTTGTAAGACATCACGAGCTTTGATCACTTTAAGTGATTATAATTGATTTTTTGGATTTTGAACTAATCTATATAAGTAATTTCCTTGTTTTGATGTCATGAAAACGAAATGGTACTTGTGGTGCATATCAATGATTGAGACTACAAAGTCTGTTTACCTTCGTAAACAACCATGTTTGCATTGTATATGACCGTATTTAGACAGATCATGTGCCTTCGCGACTGTATATGGAGCAATAGGAAGCGAAATTTAAATTCTATAAGAAAGTCGTTTACAGCAACGTTAAGCGAATGTATTTTTGTTCCCAAAAATCTTTGTATATGACATGGAAATATGCAATCGTAATGCTGAGGTATGTAAAAAGGCCTCTTTCTTGAAGTACGGTTCTTCACCATCTGTACTTGCTTCAAAAAATAACGGACAAAATCGCTAATCAAAGCACTTTGTTGAAGGTATAAAAAGGTCATTTGAATCTCTGAGCTCGAAATGAATACAGAATTATCGAATTGAAAAGAATTTTAGAGGCATAAAAGTATCAACCAAATTTTGAAGCACTTTACTCTTGCATTTCGAAGTGTACGACTCGCCTATTGTTATCAAAAAACATTCATTTTTTCTTACATGGGCTAAAT